GCAAATGCTTTATTTTTTATCCTTTAAATAGAGCTATAGTCATCATTCATCCAAAATTTCATTGATTTATTACGGTTTTTAGCTCCGACCAAAAAATGCAAAATAATGCATTTCAGATTGTTGATGAGAATGAAGCGATGGAAGAGAGCAGTTCTCGATACTTCGTTTCTTCGGAAAAAGTCTATCAATTATTCGACATGCTCAGTAAGTGCCAAATCTTATTTCTATCATTGAAAAGTGGACGCTCATGGCCTTGTTGGGGGGGGGGGGGGGAGGGGAGGATGGCACTAAAAACACGGCCTCTGAAAATTGCGACGAAGTGACACTGGAGCTAAGCCTATGTGGGAGGAGAAACGCCAGGGAAACAAAAACTGCTCACATCCTCCCCCAGAGCCCTTTTCCTTTCCTTAGCTTTAGTGTCAAGTGCTGTAACTGACTCGCCACTTGAATATCCCACTTAATCTTATGAGCGCTGGAAAGCGTCCTAGTGTAATCTCCCAGGCTCTACTTAAGGACACTAAAGAAAGAGGTTACAGAATTCGGTGTTGGTCAATCCCTTTCGGTATTTCGGTGTGCGTCTTGAATCGTGGTGGCGCTTCGAATGCGGTTTGGCCTACACAATGACTGGTGTGGGGGGGGGGGCAGTTTAATCACAGGTCAATGTTTTATCCTCCCAGACAAGTCTGGTACCAATCGGTCGAGTCAATGGATGGGAAGTTTAGTTGGCCTGTACGACGTGCAGTATAGGATTTGATTTTCGGATCGTGCTCGTGGTAGCAGCACTACTTGCCGCTGCATTTTTGGAAACAATCTGTAGAGACAAATTACTCATCATGATGGGCCTTCTCCTACATGCACCAAACTTGTGGGGGTTTCAGTCCTATAAAAAAGTGCGGCCTTTTTACCTTCCAGAATCATCCTTGTTCGCTCTGATTATGGAATTGTTCCGTGATACAGGTGACTTGCAAAAAGGGGGGCCTAGTGTCTAGTAAGTTTGGTAGATCCTTTGCTGTCCAGATTAACGGTCCCACGGCTCACATCCGTTGCTTCCATGTCCCTTCCATCTGATTTGAATCTATCCACCTGAAAGTTCATCAGGCAGAGAGGAGGTGTGGCGGATCTTTCTCAGAACATCCTGAAATTCTGAATTGTTAGCCAAATTTTTGCCATGTATTCTCCCCTGAAATTCCTACGCGAGCTCCAAGCAAGTCCTGCTCTTTGCTCCACAAATACACCAGTTATTCCACCAACTAGGATCCCAATACTGCAGAGAGCCCAACACGACCCCTCCCTTACTGAATCTTCGACATGATCTCACCTTAGTTGGAGCAACTTGGGAATACCATGGAGACCTGAAAGCGCTTTGGATACTGCATGCCGTTTATATCCATTTATATTAGGTCGGTCCATAATTTTTGAGAACCTTTGGTGTTTTTCGACTTAATTACTTATCTTATTTCTCTGATGTATTTATTCAGCACAGTATACATCACCATTATTACCAACATATAACCAATGCGAGGGTGGGTATTCAGTGTCTCTCTTGTAGAATTTCATAGAGTTCTGATCGAAGAAATATTGGATGTCGATTTTGACTTTATGGTGATTCAAGTGAGATTTCTTCTCCAGAAGGTGATTGAGAGAGGGAGCGGATAGTCGTTCGTTGACGCAGGATTAGTGCTACAAGGCGGAGCTAAAAGAACTGACCGCCCGAGAGTCTCCAATTTTTTAGGAATTTTCTTAGCAAGGCGGGCTCGAACGACCTCAGAAAAAAATAGATTTTGTCTTCCTTTGCTTTCAAGTTGAAGGCGTTGCCATCAAGCTGTCAACGATTCTTCCCATCACTGACACTGGTATTAGTTGATGCCGGTCTTCAGCGCAAAGGCCCTCCCGTATTGCGCCAACGACTCAGGAAGTTCGAATTCAGAGGGAGTTGGGTTTGTACTGTCAGAACTCCCGAATCGTTTGAGCAAATCTACTGCGGCTCGTGGATTTGTTAGCACATTGCACCCAGTCCACATCACCAATGAGTATTATAGATGGTCATCCGAAGGAACTATAGGAAACCAACAGGAACTTGATGATGTCAGATTGGGTTGAGAACTGATTCGGGACTACAATTTTCCTTCGATCAGAACTCTATGAAAGTCCACAAGAGAGGCACTGAATACCCACCCTCGCATTGGCGATATGTTGTTAATAATAATGATGTATACTATGCTGGATAAGTAGATCAGAGAAATAAGATAAGTAATAAATCGAAAAACACCAAAGGTTCTCAAAAATTGTGGACCGACCTAATATTAGTGCCAGCACTTCGTAAAATCCAAAAAAATTCACCCAAAACCCTTCCTACCAAACTGCCACTAACAAAAGCATTTGCGCGTGCTTTGGACGCACCGAGCCGAAAACGGGAGCCCGAGTGCTGTATAGGGAAGCTTATACTTTTCCTTTTTCACCTGCTTGCGGATTCTTGTTGAGGATTTACGGCGAGTTTAAAGGGCTCGTCATTGAGAACGTGAGTGTGGCAGGAACAACCAGATCCTCTTCATATTAGAAGAAAAGAAGGGCAAAGCGTTGTCTCATGTAGTAATAGGGGCGTTTTGTGTTTGAATAAACGCATTTATTTAAAGGAATCCTTCGCGGAAAATTCTTGCATTCTTTCCTTGACATGAATGTGTCAGTTGTGATCACTGGAAACAGCACACAAAGTTTCACGCATGAAGATTCGGTTTCCGAAGAGAAACAAACGTACAAAAACTACACGTCCCCCCCCCCCCCCCGTTACCTCACCTCTATGGACAATCCGAAGTTCTGCGGCGAGCTAAAAAATCCGCGAGCATGGGAAGAAGCTGGCCTCTTGCCCAGCCACACGGATCAGGCGACCTCAAATGAAAGAATGGCAGACGGCGAGCCAATTTTTGGAAAGCGTAGAAGACAAATCTGAATCGATAAGTAATAAGGAAGGAGTAGCAAAAGTTGTATGATGTGGATGCAATAAAGCAGAAAGGCCAGAAAGAGTTTCTAGTGAAGGCACTCCAAGAACCAAGTGGAAGCATTCCCCGTCGCCAGCATTTGTGACAGATGTCCGGCGGTAATTTGAACGCGTAGCAGCCCTTTCGGTTTTTCGAATTTTTTTAAAAAAATGCAATTTTTTCTGTTCTTTTCATTCTTATCGTGGATGATGGGTCTCAAGCCAGTGATTTATGGCTGAAATAGAATCATGATTTTTCCGTGAAGGATTCCTTTAAAACGCATTTGTTGAAATCGGTCTCAAGGCCCTGGGCGCGCAGGAAGACTTTGAGCATAGGAGGTACCCACGTTGGGAACGTTCCATTTTTCCCGATGCCTCCTCCGCCTAGGGCCAGTCCCTGAGCCGATATCCCGCCTTATCTGCGATATCGACAAATATCCATATCAGTCTAATCATGCGACATAATTGTCCTGCAAGGGTTCCTCCTCCCTTGATTAGTCAGAATTCCGTTGAATTTTAAGTGTCAGGCTCCGATGAGTGAGAAAACGTGAAGAAAGTGGAATCTCTCAAGACTTCAGGCTTGTAGGCTTTCTTTTTGTTTTCGCGAAAACACATCCATTCTAAAAGATGTTGAAGTGGCAACCAGCGCCGCTATCATGCATATAGTGGAAAGGTCAAATCCGGGAGATGTCCGCCCAGGCCACCGAATATTCATTCGCCCAAGGTGCTTAGTTACATGCTCGCCTGACCAAGAAGACCATGATATCCCAACGCAAAATTCGTTATTTTTGAGTTATCCGATCTGGTTAGCCATTGAAATTGGACCAGTTTATATGCGCTGTCTCAGGTGGCCGTTGTGCCCTCTTCAATGAGGGAGGGAGATGGTATAGGGGGGGAGTGTCGTGGTTACATTTCGGTAGGTATTTCTGTGTTGCGATTGTGGGGCTTCACAGGTGTTTTTTTATAAGAGGTGTGGTGTGAAGTTGAGGTATTGTTTCGTAGTGGAGTGGGACAGGGGTAGTTCTGACGAGTTTCCGAAATTCTTAGGAAGATGGTGTGGGACGGTCGAAATTAGAGCATTTGCCGTTTCCATATTCGAACCCCGTCTCCCCGCGCGAGCCCGTCTCCAGTTCTCCCTCGTCGCTTCCCCTCGCTCCACCGTGGTTTTGCGGAAATGGGAAAATCATGAATGTTCGTGCTAGTATGGGGGGGGGGAAGATTTACGACTAGTATCAGATTGAAATACTATAGAAATAGCCATGGTCATGGGGTAAGGGAGGGGGGTCATTTGGGGAACTTGCAAAACTTCACCAAGGCTGACGATGGTGGGAGTCGTGTGGAGTCCCACTTCAGTGAAGGGTGTGAATAATTTCAGTCAACGCAAAACGGAAACATAAGAAATTGCAAGAATCATCGTGGCGGCGGTCAAAAAATTTTGCCGACCCCTCCTCCCCCTCCCCCTAGAGGGTCTCCATACGACCTTCCCCACATCATTATCTCCCACCATCCCTCTCCGCTATAATAACCCCACGCACTTTTTCCTCCAATTGGCCGAGTCGAGGTAGGTGGTAAAGGAGGGGAGATAAAAAAGGATAAAGCTTTTGCCGTTGATCAATCCCGTTTTGGGATGCGGCACGCATTCTACTTCCATTTGTACATTCGTAGTGGCGTTTGAATGCGATGTGGCCTATACAATGACTTGCGGGGGCCAGCCGATGTCAAGTCAGTGTTTTTATCCTCCCAGACAAGTCTGGTACCAATTAACCGACCCCGGAGGGATGGAAGGCTTGGTTGGCCCGGGCGACTCACGACCCAGGATTTGATCCCCGGACCGCTCGCGTGGTGAGCGCGCCACTTGCCACTACACCACTTCCGCCCAGACAGGAGGAAAGTGGGTAAAAATAACCTAAAAATGGCAAATGTTCAATCTTGTGTATTTTAGGCTTAATTTTTTGCAGTCTTGTCAAAGCTACGACCAGGAACACCGTTAAAGGGACTTCCTCTCGCAGCACGATCCTTCCACTCCCAAAAATGCATTGACCTTCGTCAACCCCAATAAGGTCTCTCTCTCCAGAAACCGCGAGTAAGGACCCCACCTATTCGGATCAGCCGGACGGACGGTTGACCTTGCTCGCCTTGGCTGCCTTCTTTAAAATCAATCTTGTGGAGGCGGTCAAGCTAAAATGTTGTACACGCGGAGAGCATGCTTTGATTCATCGCACAGTTTCTCAGATGACTCATAATGTTTTGAAAACCAAAGAATTTCTTGTACTTGCAGGCGCGGAATGCTGCTCGTCCATCGGCGACGCGTTGAAATGCACTTGGGCGTCGTCCAGAGATTCAACAAGAGCAGCAGTACTGTTGATTTTCGTTGTCACCACAACCATTTTCTTCACAAGCAGCGCTCGACTCGGCAAAACCCGCAGTGCTGACCGCTCTGACGAGGTCTGTTATAGCTTTTCACCTGGGTCATTCCAAATTGAATCTATTTTTATTTTTTTTTTGCAGATTTTTGCTTCCGGTCTGCAGAGCCGGGGGGATTTCGAAAGGGCTTTCATGCCACTGCTGCCTCGCCGAGCCACGCACAACTTTTCAAAAGTGGTAAGAATAAATAAATCAACGAGTTCCATACTTACTTTTCCAAATGTTTTAACGAAAAGGAAGGGAAGTGGCGTAGTGGCAAATGGCTCTGCTTACCACGCGCGCGTCCGAGGATCAAATCCCTGATCCTTACGCAGTTAACACTGGGTCACAAGTTTATCATCCTTTCGGTTAGTTGGTGCCAAACTTGTTGGGGAGACGAAAAATACTGACCTGTAAATCGGCTGGCTCTCGCAAATCATTGTATAGGCAACATCGCATTCAAATCGCCACTCGATCTGTATGAAAGCAGATACGTAGCTCGTTGTCCTCAGCTTTAGCCGTCTAGTTAGGGGTATGTTGTCTGCCGGCAGTAGCAGTTTTTGTACTTGGTTTCATTTAAATAATTGCTTGATGTGTTTTGTTTGTTCCTTC